AAGACGATATAAAGCTAAGCAGTACGTGACACTGGTTAATAAAGCAATGTGCAGTTACCCAGTTAGGCGTACAACATTGAAGCCTGCAATCAATAAGTGGCGTCAAATTTGAATAACCGGCTTTACTTTCTACATATTAAAACAATTACGTTTTTTAATAAATTAGTTCAAACGTTTTTGGACTTCATTGTATTTAAATAATCAAAATTTAGTTTATCTGAATTTTGAGGTACTTGTAATGTCTGCCTCGTTCTAGGACGATATGTGTCAACTGGAGTTGGTTTTCCGCTTTGATTTCTCGTGAATAAAAACTATTTGCTGAAGGTAACCTACCTAAGCTATTGATTTTTTTACGCAAAGCCTTTACCTATAATGTCTCAGATAATATTCTCGTTTCTAGCGTTTCGATTAAGTAAAATTTGATGTCTTAATTGTGGACTCGATGGTAGATGGTTGCGATTTTGTAGATTGTCATTTGCCTTCACAAACTGGCATCTGTATATTCAGAAAACCCACGTCTTTTCCTGTTTCCGCAATTAGGTTGTTAGAACATCTTACGGTTTTTTCAGTCTCATCCCGTTAAGAATCTTGTGAGTGCTCATGAACTAATTATGGATTTCTTAGTTTTTTAAGATCCTTGAATAGTCTTGAATACCTGTAACCAAAAGTGGCGGAACGTTCACATCTACCAGATAACTGAGATCTGATTTTTGTTAGCTTTTTGTGCAAACTAAATCTCCATTCTTTAGCCTCGTTGATGCCATTCTCCACTGAACATTCCTCGCTCAATATATACAGGTTCTTATCGTCCCAATATACCAGTAACTGGTGACATTTTTGCTACCAACTTCCAGTCATATTTTGATATTAACTTCCAGTAATACAAACATTATCCAAGTTTCTTTATCGACTTTGACGTCTGCGTTGCCGCTTGACAATTTGCTATGATAAAGCGAATGTATATATATGGCTTTTTACCACGTTTATTATGGGGACTAGTTATACTTCTAAGCTCCACATACCAAAGTAGATGAATCAGGATTCAAGACTGCTCTAATTTGGTTGAATGCAAGGTGAATAATTGCCCAGTGTTCATCGTTTTACGTAGCTCTTAATTAACTTATTTCCTCAGCTTGGATTTTGCTAGCTTTGTTCCTATAAGTAGTCATCATATTTGGCTACACCAAGCGTTTTTATGTCCTGATAGATTTTACCCCACCATATATATCGGCGCTCTCTTGTACCAATATTCATGTGTCCAAATAAATAAATACCCCACCAATCTCGTACTCCAAAATTCTCTTGATGTTGCGGGTCAGTTAATAAAAGTTATCTCTAAATAGTAGGGTGACATAGGAAACGTGTAAAGTCCAAACACACTATGCTTTTTATAGATTCAAAGAAGTACTAATTTTCCACCAAAATTTCTATCAATAGTATCATTTGTACAAATACGGTCTATGCTTTTATCCAATTCAATACAAACAGACGTTGGTAAAATTGCTATTTTACATCGTTGCACTTATTTGTATAAATGTTATCAGTAAAGACGAAATAGGGCTACTGAACGAAATATAGATAGAAAATGAAAATCACTATCTCAAATCATGGTCTTCTTACCTCAGTTTACGGAATTTAATTGCATTCTGATACATAAATGTGTTCATAACCATCGATTTATCTCTGTATACTCGAACTAATATTTTCTTGATTTATATGGTGTGAATCCATAGTGCTTCCACATATGTAACGGTAATTAAGATTTAAAGCTATTTGAACATTTTTCGGTTATCCGATAACATTTAACTATAACCTAACACTAGTGTGGTCTGTAACATTCGCTCAACTAATAATTAACAACTTAGAACCCGGCACAAATGTGCATCGGTTAAAATTTTCACATATCATAACCTAACCTCGCGCAGTGTGTGCGAACTAAACCAAATCTCACTCAATGACTAAACGAGTAAGGCCTGATTTCTCTGGTTTATAATGCATTCTAATTCTTGTCCCATTTTACAGTGTTGTATACTTGTCACATCTATTCTAGTCAAACATCTAAAAAAAGTTGTATCAAATCATTAGTCTAAATGCTAGTTTTCAAGTGAAATGTCATTACATGTGCTCCAGTCTTGGCTACTACCTAATATCATCAGCCCCTAAATTGTGTAGCTGATACCGTAATGTATGAGTGTATACTTTATATTGTTTTGGAACCGTACTATTACATCGCGAAGTAGTAGATACTCCACAAAGCGTGGTTTTTTATAGATCTTTCCAAAGTAGTTTAGGAAGATGCCTATTCCCAAATTCTTAGCTTTAATACTATTGAAGTGGTTTTTCTTCAGTTTGTATACAAACTTTTGCATATGTTGATTACCATTATTATTGCTAATGAATTCAGTTTACAGTGATTTCCTTAATTTGAATGATTCTTTAGAGTATGGCAAGATAATAACTCTGAAATCAACCCACGACCATTTCATATATCTTTGTATTGGTGTAAGTGTTCGCGCTGGTGTTACTAACGAAATCTGTGTATAGCGAAGGCTTGTAAGATGGTGTTTGACGGTAATTTACAGGAAGCCCTCGACATAGGTTTTGTACTACTTAAAACTCGTTAGAAAAATGTACTTGTAAACTTAAAGGAATTAATACCCCTCAACAGATTTGGCCTTCTGTATTCCAGGTTTACAGTTAGAAACGTTAATACCGGGTTGTTCAGGCCATAAATGACCGCCCGTGGGGTTGAGATACACCTGCAACTGACTGGTCACTGAGTAGTGATCAACGTTATGCACATCAAGTCTTTCTTACTGCTGATCGATAGAATCAATACGAGCCGCCTGTAACACCATTAAAATGTTGATCTGTTCATACAGAATCTAATGTGTAACGCCCCGTTAAAAAGGGACCCTGAAACATGCATCAACTACTTCACTTTTCACGAGCTGGTGGCATTGGCAGATTGTAATAAATGTAAAATGCACCTAAACGTTTTCAAATCTCGCTATTCGTTTTGTCTACGTCAAAGCGATGGTTTAGTAGTTTAAGGACAAATACCCGTTATCTTCTATCCTAAACCTTTCTTGATCGTTGTTTCTGAGCACCTCGATGGTGTCGTTATCCTTCTCAGGAAGTTTTACTCTTTGAGTGTAACAATCTATTCTCTACAAATTAGTTACACTACCAAAGAATAGTTCACTGTATTATATGACTAGTTTCAAACAACAAACTTTCAAGTTCCAAATATTTGATTATAGTTGCTTTTGAAACATTGAAGCCATTCAGTTAATAACACTGACGTTAGTTGTATAGTACCAGATAAATTTGGTATATTGTTTTGTAGATTTCCGAACCACGAGTAGTAAAAGTGGTTGGCATATTATTCACACATACTTAGCCAGCACCCATACCGTCTCATTATGCTAGTTGGCACGGTATCTCGTTCGTTTCTTTTGTCTTGATTTTCCATTTTTGTTAGCATTATGATAATTTTCACTCTTTTTCTTTTCCACTTTGTTAATAATCCTTCTATATCATAACAAAAAGGATCTAGGAATTTGAACGAATACACATTTTTATCAGCTCTTAAGATTTTTGCATCTTTTAATTACGACGGAAGTGATACATTTCTGTCTCATATCATAGATTGTTCAGTCTTTCTACCTATTCAGATTTATTAACCACAGTCTTTTCAGTGTTTAATCCAAATGACTCAAAAGCACTATACCATTAAAAATATGTGCGGCTCAGAATCGATCACAATGGCATCGGTGTATACACTCTGTGTCTTCCCTTAAACTAAGAGATTAAAATCGCTTCATATCTTTCTTTCTACGAACTATTTCTTTCATCCTGTACTATATCCTCATATGCAATCTTTCTTTTATATATTACCACCTCTGAATTCACTACTTCTATGACTCCGGTGTTCATCTTGTTGTGTTAATGAGGTATGGCAACTTGGGCCGATGCATATATGTACCTGGTCCTACGTTGTAGCTGACTGACTGACATACGGCTAGCTGTATAATTGTTGTACTCGTTAGTCTATTGCAACAACAGAAATAGTTGATCAAAAACTAACATGTATCACTCAAATTGTATTTTAGATATAGGCCTACCCATTGTTCACAATTATTTGGCTTTAGTTTACATCTTGTTATCAACTCTGATGATTTTGGAAAAATACCAAATCTTTTTGACGTACTAAAGTACCAAAGTATTCCTGTTTTTCTAAGGTAAAGCTTTGGTGTTATGTGCTTCTGTTTTCTAAACTACGCTCACTGTTTGAGTGGTTTTTGTAATTTTTCACTTAAAGTAGCTGTCTAAATTTTTACGTATTTTAACCACTTTGATTTAATTAAAATTCTTTGTTCTATATTTCGTCATACATACCATTATTACCTTGTTAAAGCCTGTTCACTGTTAGAATTATAAAATACGCCTTTTTACTGTTTGAAACTGTGATCAGCCACTAATTAACATACAGCTCCTAAAATCACTTTTGATTCGCTATGAATCATTTGAAATTTCTCATAGCATTTACTTAGCTTGCTTGTTTCTCATGCTTCATAATTGCTAGTTGTTAAGCCAAGCTGTTTGTTGTCTGCAGAACACTGCAACAAGTAAGCAACCATACATGCTCATTTTCGAAGTTCGATGGTGCTTATTGTATGGTAATTTATGTATTTATCCAGCTCGTATAACAGACTTATTTTTAGTCACTGATGCTTTCATTAGTTTTTTTAATTGTTGTGATAGCATTCAAACGAAAGTCACAGCTGGTATCAGCTCAACTAATATATATATATATGTATATATATATATAATAATTAGAAATTTATTGAGAATAGATTCTTTTTAAGATATTACTACAACTCATTTACGTTACTCATTTCTCTATCATAGGCTAGATATTTTTGTCGCCAGTTCATGTTATATGTTATGTGTACTGCATGATCTCTTCTGCACAGATTCATTCTGGCGTTGGATCGATGGCCACTGCTGCTCTGGCTCCAGTGGCTGCTCGTCCACCTTCCAGGTCAGATCAACAACATAATGGAAATATCCAAGAACCTAATCGACCTTTACGTTGGAGAGTGATTGACGACCAACCACATGTTGGAAAATACAGGTTTATACGAACTATAGGCAAGGGGAATTTCGCCAAAGTCAAATTAGCGAGTCATGTTATTACGGGACAACAAGTCGCTATCAAAATTATTGATAAAACCCAGTTAAGTCCTTCAAGCCGTCAGAAGGTAATTGTTTATCCTTTCAGTTTCATTCAATAAATTAGCTTTTCCGAGAAGTTAGACTGATGAAATTGCTGGACCATCCAAACATCGTAAAGCTATTTGAAATTATTGACAACGATAAGATTTTATATTTGGTAATGGAATATGCCAGTGGTGGTAAGTTTTTAATTACTTTTCCTCTAGGTTATATAAAAATACCCCTCTCATCATACTACATTTATACACTTACTTAGTCATACGTTTTGTGATTTCTTGACCTATTTACGTATTTTACGAACTAATTTGCTTGAGACGATTTACTACCATAACGTATTCGACGATTCATTTATAGACGTAATTTTACCTGCTTGAAGTTGGTATTTAACTCTATGTTGTGGTTGTAATCGAACCATGTACTACATTTTGAGAGTTTATGAATTCGGTCCGAATTATCGTTATTTTTCTATTCCATTTGTGGTAAGACAAACGTTGGTTTCACAACCACAACCAATTTAACACACATTTTACCGATTTCTGACTTGGTATTCTGTTTCGTCATTTATATACAAATGTCGGCTTATTAGATAGAAACTATTAGTTTACATTATTATATTTTGATTGTTGAATATTTATACTACTTAGAGTTGAAGATTCTGCATACTTCTAAAATTACGAAGCAGTTCTATTATTCCGTACTTATTTCTAATTTTCCTATAAGATTTTGGCTGTATCAGAATCCTTTTAGTTAACGTTGTTAAATAAATAGATTATGATTAACGAAACTTTACCATATTTTTGTTACCAATCACTTCGGCTTCCTCATCTAGAGCAATGATCGGCTAGTTTCCCGAATATCTAAGAATAACCATAAACGATTCTCCCACCAACTTGCTGGATAAGTAACAAATAGAAGTCTCTCGATACTTACATTCTTCTGAGAAACAGTCTTCTCTAACCTTTTAGCACACCACCTATCATTGCTTCGTTTTTGCGCATTCGTTTTTTAGGTGAGGTTTTTGATTATTTGGTTGCTCATGGAAGAATGAAAGAAAAAGAAGCACGGGCTAAATTCCGTCAAATTGTTTCTGCTGTTCAGTACTGTCATCAAAAACATATTATTCACAGAGATTTAAAAGCCGAAAATCTCCTTCTTGATGCCGATATGAACATAAAACTGGCTGATTTTGGCTTTTCTAATGAATTTAGTCCAGGCACGAAATTAGATACTTTTTGTGGAAGTCCTCCTTATGCAGCCCCAGAACTATTCCAAGTACGTTTGACGTGATATTCTTCAGATTTTATTGTCACTGTAAAGTTTTTGCTTACTTTTGTACAATAACATAAATTTCTCATCCTTTTTTTCACAAAACTACTATTTAGGGTAAGAAATATGATGGTCCCGAAGTTGATGTGTGGTCGTTGGGTGTTATTTTGTACACATTAGTCAGTGGGTCCCTTCCTTTCGATGGTCAGACACTTAGAGAATTGCGTGAACGTGTTCTACGTGGCAAGTATCGCATCCCGTTCTACATGTCAACAGACTGCGAAAGTTTGTTGAAGAAAATGTTGGTCCTTAATCCAAGTAAACGATACACTTTAGAGGTTAGTTACTTTAATCACTGTGCATAACTTAATGAGTCATAATTTGGTTCTATTAAACTATTATTTATGAAGTATTTGAGGAATTGTAAACGTCCTATATTTACATTTTACCAATAAATTAGATGGTGATGAAAGATCGTTGGATGAATACTGGTTATGAAGATAATGTATTGTCACCGTACATAGAACCCGAACCAGATTACACTGATCCTGTACGTATTGAGATTATGGTCAATATGGGCTTCAGTCGTGACGAAATAGAGAAGTCTTTAACTCAAGGAAACTTTGACGACATAATGGCTACTTATCTCCTCCTTGATAGAAGACGTTCTTCACTTGATACAAGTTCACGTGATGGTTCAAGTCTTTCTTTAAGGTAAATCTACCATTAATAGTTATTTATGAAATTTACGATTAACAACTTAGTTTTGACAACCTGATTGTTCTTTTCAAACAGTTTAATGATGTTCGAGGTTCTTTGCTGACTATATATGTCAAGGTTTCCAGAGCTCCCTAGGGTACCAATAGTTAGCCATCATTTGACCTAGCACATAGAACTATACTAACTAAACTTCAACTATTTGGTCTGAACACAGACGAAGATCTAGCAAACCAATTATTCCAAACTATTTTCTTCTGTACAGTGTACGAGGCTTGTCTAAGTCACTTGTATTCAACAATTATGCGAAAACACAAATTTTTTGTGTTCACGTCAAAACAATGGCGTCATAATATAGATTAGTTGATCTAGAATATAATTGTAGTACAATCGTTTTTGTAAGTCTTATGCAATGTAACTAACTGAAAGCTACATGTAGCTTAACTCTACAGTTAATCCGACTCATTCATTCTTAATTCTTTAAGAGGTGCTTCACAAAATGGACAAATGTTGTAATAAGAATAAAAGAAATAAGTAATGCTTGTTGATATCTGATCTGGTATGATTCAAAGATTTACTCCGATTGGTCACATAACAGTTATCTTTGTTATTCTACTTTTCTGGATTATAAAGCATTTTTGTCATTCGTTATGGTAAATTGGATGAATATTATGCTCACATCAACAACTATCTCTTATTGCCTGACTAGAATAAATTTTTCTTTAAGTAGTCACTAAGAATGGAAGCTTTTTAAATTATTAAAGCGACGGAAGTTCATTGTCAATAAACTATAATTGAACATATTACTTTATCTAAAGTTGGTTTGTTTTTAACTACTATTAAAGTAAATTGTGAATGATAAATATGCAGCCAACTATGTGTTATTCTTGTTAAGCGTTTTCCAACTAATAATTAATTTCATTCACCTTTCAGGCAAAGTACTCATTTACTTTCTGCTACATCAAATCCTGCAGCTAGTCCACTAATCTCAACTGGTGGTGTTAATTGTGCGAGTGTGGAACATACCTCAAATATTTGCCCAGACGATACGTTGTCTGTTTTACCTACAAATGCTGATACTGGACCAATAAATCAAAACGCACATTCAAGCTCTAAATTTACGGTCAATTCTGGAAGTGCCACTCGTTCTACAAGTACAACACCACCTAGTACAGTAACGGTAGTCAATAATGGTGTCAATAACAAGCCAGCTATGAATATAATCACTCCTTCATGTAATTATATTTTCAGTTTTATTAGATTTATTTAATACATTATTGCTGTTTATAATTCTGTAGAATATAGACCATCGACGTATTGTTAGCATACGATTATTATCTACTTCGTTTATCTCTTTGTCAGCTTGCACTTCTGGGTCGGAAAGTTCAGGAACTACAGGTACCAGTACAATAACTCCCATTTCACATGTCAGTTTGGCATCTACAAATACATATTCATCTTCAAGTGGAAACGCGAACGTGAATTACAATACAGCCCTTAATGCAATTGAAGCATCATGTCCTTCTAGTAATGTTGAATCAATTAAGTTGATGCGGAATGACCTTGTTCGTGCTTCAGATCGTCCTGGTAGAGAAGAATCTAGCCGGATTTTGGCACGATTACGAGGCTTTACTGATGAAATGGCCACTCCAGTTGTTGGTGGGGGTGGGCTTACAGCTTATCCAAATGTTCCAGGCCAACGAACAAGTATTGATGCAGGTACCAGCACAGTTCGTCCAACTACTGCCGGCCAGAGAAAACCCATTCCTATCACTTCACAAGCTCTGGGTGCAAACACGAAATCATCACCAAACTCCAACTCAGCTATGGGTAATATTATTTAGTTCTTTTCTGTTTAAGCTTCGTGTTTAATGTCCATCCCTTTTTTATGTTGTCCTTTTCAAATGTTACTACATTATTTAGTGGTACTTGTTACTCTCTTGATACTATACGAAGTTTTCATTTCAATAACAATGGGGATACAAATAATTTTTTGAGTTGACTAAACCTGTATGTTTCAGGGTAGTGATTTTTAAGCTTCTTGTATCTTGACTCTACTTCAATCACCACTTTTATTCCAGTAATTTGTCATTTTTTCCTCACTGATAGGTTTTCTTTCCCTTTTGCTCCTGATTATGTCCAACTTCATCGGATTTTAGTTAATTATATTCACTCCTTTTATGTAAGAATGTTGTAAGCCTAATGTAAATTTGTTACCATTATACGTACAGTGTTCCTGTGTTTTGTGAAGCTTATACCTCTAAACTTTTAACTTATAACTCGAATCCCGTAACGTCTATAAGCTCACTCACTTCTTTCTGTGGTTTTTTTAAAATGTACATTCAATAAATGGGAAAATGAAGTTGACAGCACGTTTTTTTTAAAGCTGAGAATGACTGGAATAATAAATATTTCAATCTCATTCACTTATCGTGGAGTCCCAGTTACGCGCTACACAGTATCACTCATTTTCCCTTACTGTTGTTTCTGTTTACTTACTCTCGTCTATACAAATGACAAATTGAATGTAAGACAATCATACCTGACCATAATTTTCCAGTTTTTTTTGACTGTTAAAACAATTCGAAGCATAAAGCTTCCACCATATCTTTTCGTTTAATATAGTGATTGTCATCTCACCAATTTCACGGTTATTGTTACAACTATGTACCTATTATGAACAAGTCCCTTCATTTTCTTCCTTTTTTCTCTTATTTAGAACTGTCCCTCCTATCACATGTAACCATATGTTTTAATTATTTTACCGAAATATTGATTCCTATAGTTTTTTCTCGTTAGTGGGTTCTGCATTTTCGACTATGACAATATTTAAGGCATGTTATTTATTTACTTATGATATATAGTAGTTCTTATTATTGTAGACTAGTTATAACCTATAAGAAAACGTAGAGTTAAATGAGGTTGTTTCGTTGTATAATCTTTATTGTCATTATTTTAGTTCAGATGGCCAAGAGTAAGGTTCAAAAGTTCTTAGTATGTTGTGGTTTTATTTTATAGTTATATTATTTTTTCTCATACCCCAATTCTCATGTAATTTGTTTTCTGCTCACAAAGCACGCCGTACTCATACTATGAATTATGGGACAACAACCCCAACATCTGGAGATCAACAACATTCTGTTAGGCGCCAACCGATCAATACAAATGCAAGTGGACGCAATACATGTGTATTTGATAATGCTAATCCTAGGAACTCAGTCGCTCTTTCTGGTATCACTGGTCTTTCTAGTGGATCTGCTTTATCGCCTTCGTCTGATAAATCTACATCTGGGTCATCAAGCGGAAGTGGTAACAATCAAGTTACAACCAATGGTGCTGGAAGATTACCATCTCATGAAATTCGAAGGTTAGTTGTAAATAAATTATCCAATTCTACATTTTTTCACTTGAATAAATTAACTTGGTTTCAAGCAACAGCGCTTACTTTTCAGTGTATTTTTGTATTTAATCGAGCAAAAATATACTTCCTAATTGGACTCCTTAAGATATCACTATTAGCTTTAAGAATTAATCGCTTGAAGTCAGTCTCAATCGTTCGCACACATTCAGTATATATATTTGGGCGTAATTACTGAATTGAATAGAGAAATATAAACTTTTCTTCTGTTTTCCCAAGTTCTTGCCTCTCAAAATACTCATGTAGTTAGTTAAAAATAACTGGGATCAACCAAGTCTGTGTTATTACCGACAATTCTGTTCAATCACCATTGATTATTGTATGAATTTCTTACATCTCTTTCTCAAACAAAAAAACTTACACTATTCAGTAAATGTGTGCTTCCTTTCAACATATCAACGTTTGGCATTACCAACGACAAACTTAGGTATGTGCAGAATATCACTGAAAAAAGGTGCTCAAGTACATTTTTTAATAATATAGAAATATTTTAGACTTCTTTAAAACTTAATATTGATTTGATTGATGTGTTTAGTGTATTATATTATGATGGTAATGTTAGTGATAATCGATCAGACGAGAGGATTTTTCATGCTAATTGTATTTGTGTGTGATTTTGTTGTCATGTGATGATGTGTATAATTTATAAGGTCATTATCTTTTATAAGTCTTGCGTTGCGTTATACTTTACGTAAATCTGGAGGCTGGCGCACATTTTTGTTACATATATGCACATATTTATTTTATAGAGAACAAAATTTAGTTATATGTATATATATATACTGTTCATAGTATACACATTTCATGTATATTACTAACAACTCGCCACTAAATAGAAGAACCAAGTAATAAGAAATGAAGTTTAAAGCGACATGAAGGTTTCAGAGTAAATGCATGCAACTCTCATAGTTTTACACCATTTACATTAATAATGCTTTAATTAAAATCAGATTAGTTCTGCTTTTCACAAGCGTTCGATAATTTTATGGGGGGGGGGATATGAGCAGATGTCAAATCCGAACAGCTGCGTTTATTTTACACAATCCATAAATTATATTAACTTAAAACAACTGTTCTATGTGAGTCTTGTGTTTATTTGCTGGTCATCATCGCAATCTTTATTTTCGCGAACGCCTAAAAATTACCCGTAATGGAGATTAAATCTAATATTTTGGCCTTCGTTGTAGCTTGAAATATATAAAACACTTCCCTAATTAGCTGTATTTTCTCTAAAACTGCATACATGATTGGACCCACTGAAAATAGCTCTGCTACTTTATTTTAAGTATTATTTACCCAATGTTACCTCATTAATATCTGTGTTTGGTTGTGATTGTTCCTGTAAAGTTACCTGTATATTGAACTTGACTATTCTCCTTATGCGGTCTTAGATGTACACCGTGTTATAACTTGTGCCCTGTGTCCTTATTAATGTATGACGTGATGATGCCCCCTGTTAGAGTACAGTGAGTTATCGATCGGACCAATCACGCATAAAACCCGTACAAGCAGTCTAGAGTCCTTATCGGTCCTGCTTACCGCCTAACCCAGGCAGGTGAGTCCAGATCACTAATCTTAATCTCTGCGATATGAATCACTTATTTCGAACATACTGGGTTTATATACCAACCAGACAGACCACATCGTAACATAAAATAGGAAACAACATTTGTACAAGATTTAGCCAAATGTGGCTGTGAATAAGGGAGATAGTAATTAATAGACTGACTATAATAATAATCCATAGGTCATTATAAACTTTATGATAAGAGAAACACGAATATGAATAGTTTAGTCATTTAACAATTATACGATAAAAATATACGTTTAGTAATTGTCCAGAAATAGATCTCAATAGTTATTATTCATTATTCCCATCGGGATATAATACACCGCTATATTGAAACCATGAACCAATCTAAGTTAGATCACCATTGAATACCCGGAAGCACTGGATGGCTGTTTCGTCCTAGTATGGGACTCATTAAAAATCTTCATCCACTACTCCGTGTCGGGTTTGAGGCAGTTACTCACCTATGACAATGAAAGATGGTCATGTGATGTATTGAATTAATTAATATTAGACATCAACACCGTTGGATGCCGGTCAGTGGTCTAGTGGCTAAGCGTTCGCGCGTGCAACCGAAGTCCCTGGACTTTCTCCCCGGTTTCAGGATCATGGGTTCCCACCGCTGAGAAGTCCCATACTAGGATGAAACAGACGTTCAGTGTCCCTAGGTTTTCAATGGTGGTCGACCGTTGATCAGTTCATGATTTCAATGAAATTCAACAATCTCTACAACCCCATACTAAAAGCATACTATTTTAACCTGTAACAAGCATTTTAAAGTTATGGCACAATATTACCAATATTTAGTGCTTATTGAGCAAATACGTCTACTTCATATAGTGATCTTAATAGTATGAAAAACACTCCTGTGCACTAATTGATGACATGATGAACTTAGTTTAAAGAAATTAGACTGCTGTACACTCGGAGTAGACTGTATATTACATATTTCTGCCCCACTGATTGCATCTGAGAGCCGTCCTCGTCTTTTCACATATGTTCGTCGTTTTTACTGCAGAATTCGTGCGTGTGCAAAGATACTTGAAACTAACTTATGTTTATAATCATTGCCAATTTTAATATATAATTCACAATGAAATAGTTTTTCCTTTTCGATCTAGACTCCCTCAATTCAAAGCTCCAAATGTAGTGGAGGAAAACTCAGGTATGGTAAACCAATATATTGGTTTATACAAAATTAAACGGTGCCTTTGTATAATTTGAAAAGCATACATTAAATAAGTCATTTAGATATCTTCCTTCAGTTGTCCTTTACATAGTCCATCATTCTTCCAATTCAATTGTTAATCAAATTGCTCTTTGTTTCCCTTCCTCTTCTCTTTATTTTAATCTTCTGCTGCTAAACATTCCTATTCCTGCTATATACTACTTATATCTGTCCACATACAAGGTGCACATCACACAAGTAACGACTTATCGTAATTGAAGTATTATTTGATTCCACTCATATTAAGCAATCATCTAAAAGTTTAAAATGTATATTGTTTTCCTTGATATGAGCAACGGATGTCTTGAATGTCAGGGAAATTTATCCTTTTCACGGATAATGTCCACTTGATTTTCACTCAGCATATAGTTCATTTGTAAATTATCAATTTATTTGTTGAAATTATAAAATTCAGTACTCATTCTTTTGGACAATTTCTACTGTAATAAATTTTTTGCGGACCACGTTGTTTTGTGAACTTTCAGCCATGTTACTCCTGCACTTGTTCCTATGACTACGCGTACTAACAAAGTACATCATGGTGCCAATATATCTAGTGGTACTGGTGGTGCTTATCATGCAGGTTTATTATTGGAAAGATCTGCAACGTTGAATACTGCAGGTCCTGGTACTAGTGGTAATGGAACTTCATCAAATCAATGTGCTTCTTCCACACGTGGAAGTGATGTAGTTGGAGCTGGAGAATTACATCGTAATCAACCTTGTGCCAATAATGTCGGTCGAAGCGGGTATGTAATTATTCTTTTTTCATCAGAACGAGGTTTACTTAAAATGTAATAATCTGAAAATGCTTATCAGTGTTTCTCTTAACTTTTCGATATCTGTAGATGAAGTGTCCTACCGACTTATTGGTCGAAAGTTCTTCTCCGCTACAATTAATGACATATTTCTTTCCTAATTATTTTGTATTATGGTTATTGATACAAACTGAATTTTCTTCTTTTCATAATGATGGTTTTGTATTGCAGAGTCAACGATTATGCTGTAACATCTTTCAATCGCAACGATTTAGCGTATAGTTCCCTTAGGTAGGAGTATCTCAATGTTGTAACACTAGTCCAATTAACTCACAATGTTTATGTTTTGTTAAAAAAACTAATGTTCTTGCCTTTTGTATCGTTATTTGTTGCGATAAAAATATTTATATCATTTTGGTGTATATATATATATATATATATATATAATTTTATTTTTGTCCATCTATAAATATTTACTTCACCGTTTTACATATAATTGATAATCATATATTGCGTTTTCTTGTCTTGCTTTAACCTCCTTTCTTCACCTCATTTCGGTTTACCTGGGTTTTGGTGCACATTTTACATGTTACATTGTGGTCGGATTTCGTTTGATATAAATATTCATTTTATATCTTTCTCTTTTCACGTTAACTAATTTATTCGTGAACTTTTTATTAGGTGTAATAAATGAATTAAACAAATCTACCGAAATTAGTAAAACAAACTTTTATTGTATTTGAGACTTTCTAGTTTATTACATTATCAGATACTTTGATTCTTGTATAGTTACTGTATTATGGTCTGATGCAGTTCTATAGTATTCATCTCTCTAACGTGCAAGTTAGGTTTTACACTTATTATAAAATACGTACAACTTGGTACAAGATTATATTAGTCCAAGTTGCCACACTACATACAGCGAGGAGAAATTAACAGGAATTGAAAGCGGTTAATTGAAAATAGTATTTTTACCTTAAAGCAAAATAGCAGTAAGACTATAATTGAATAGTTCAACTTTATCATAGTTGCGATTACATATTCTATGTGTGAAATATCACTGTCAGCTCTCACTTGTTAATTATTGACTTGTAAACCATATATGATTTATTCGGTTAGTTGGAAATCCAGGCACTCGCTCTTGTATACATGAATATGTTCATGTATAAGATAATACTAATTGACTTCATTCGCGTATTCTTGATTGAGTCCGGTGCATGGATTGTAACTAGTGTAGTCGCATTGATTCATTATGTTTTTGTAAATTTTAGATTTTCACGAAGACTGGTTATATCCTTCAGTCTCATCAATCATACTACTTTCTTTACATTTTTCTGCATCATAGCTAAATTTATTCGGTATTTTTGACAATATTGTCTCTAATTAGTCCTCTACTATGTTAATTAGCTGCAGTCACACTTCCTTGGATAAATTTTTTGGTAAATGAATTGATTATCGTTAGAGGATTTCCGTCTGAAAACAACAAAGAAACACCTGTTTATCAATAGTTAATTTGATCTTGTCTCTTTACGATCATTGCGAAAATTGGTCCTTTTTATCCTAACTTATAGAAGCTTACTTCCTGATACCAGTCGTACTCAACTCACTTTTGTACCGAGTGCGTACTGGCAATTTGATAAGTTTATTTCTAGGGTATTTAAAATGGAACACTATCTAGTATTTTCATATGTAAAATTGATTCTGGTAAAATGTTTATCTAATTTGTATGTCCAACAACAAAATGTCAGTGTAGATACCACTACATAAATAGCTAAATTAGCTGTATTTAACATGAAATATCCTTTCATTTATAAATATGAATTTACATTGATCATTCTTGATACCACATAACTAGCTTGCAACAACAAATTACCCACTACTTTTCTCCCGATTGTTCGAGTGATCTTACTTTATCATTCTTTTATAAGTGCTAAAATAATTTCGTGCTTATTTTCAAAATACTTTATTTTGGTTGGAAGCTCGAAACTGTTATGTATATTTGACAAAGGTTTTGATGACTTATCGATAACTTCTTAATCAATCACTAAAGACAACATGTTGTACTGTTTTTCCATCTTCCATGGTCAGTTACTGAAACTGACTCGAGTGTAGCGAATAATGCTGAAAAATTACTATCCTTTTTTTATCTAAAGAGCCATAACCCCCATTTCGAAGAGGCTCTAAAACAGGTTTCCGAAAACTATCATCAATTCCCAAAGCCTACTAAAAATCTACTTGCGATATCCAACTTCGGAACTATGTATTCCGAGCCGCAACAAAAGTAGTAACCGTCTTGTGTACATTTTCAAAGTCTAAGGTTATTGTTTTTGACAAATTTATGTGAGCAGCTTTCACTATTATAGCTTTAGATTTATTAGGAAAAGGTAATGAATCCATCTCAACAACTCCCGCTTACGTTTTGATGCATAATGGTGTGTTCGTGTTTATGAGGCTACTTGTTCGCTTTCTAACTTCGGTTGAATACCCTTAGCACCATGGATAAAAACTTTTCAAAGCTCCGTAGTAACCGTAAATATTTAACATTTCATTTTTCTATGCTTATATATACCTCGATTACTCACTTTTATCGTTTTTTTATTATTTTTGTTGCTTCATAGTGTCGTTTGAAACTTGTCTATTACATTATTAAAGTATATTATGTTATTAACTTAGGAACTCTGTGAAGTTCGTTTTAGACAATTTTCCACTTAAAACTCAATGGAAAACGAATAGAGGACAGGGCTTATGACATTCAATTATAAGTATTTGTGAAGTATTACTCGGTCAAATTAGGGACTGATTCATAATTCAAGCGTGTCGATCATTAACTGTAGTCGTATTTATGTGTTCATTAGTTCGTCTTTCTACCCTCCAATATTTTTCCACTTCTCTCTGTTTCCTTGATATTATTAGAGACAATGTAAACTTAAACCAATTCACTATGGTTGGAGGTTCTCTGTTTTATCTTGTTGGTTTCTGGTAATATTTACCAATTATTTCGAGACTTGCATCGGAAATTATTCATATTGTCTTGCTTTTCAAAACGGCGATCACGAATTTTAGTTCTATAAGTTTCATTTCTACAGAGACTGATTCATGTAATATTTTAAGCTATTGAAAAATCCATTACACACAAAAATTCAACTAGCTTATTATTTTTAATGTCTTTCGTTGATATTACATTAAAAAAGGGTCGTTATTGTCTACCATGTTTATGGTCTATCAGATTGCTACAGGGAAATTCAGTACTTTTCATTCACTTTCTACTTCTTTTGATTTGTATCATATTTGAGTGTTGAAAGATTGTTTTCATTGGGTTTACAAGTTGTTTATTTAAGTTGTCGCCCATATGTAATTGTTCTTCAAATAAAACAATCATTTATAGTTGTTAATAATTGTAAACAGACTACTACTTTGTAATCACTCTTACGTCTGACTGATAATTAATCAATCTAAAATGAGTTTTGTTGCGAACTACACGATTCTTGTCATGCGTCAAACCATAATTGTTTAGTTTCAGTCCATGAAACTCGTCGGTGATGTTACTGCTGCTATGTATAATTCTTTTGGTAAATAGAGATTGGTTTGTGCATTGATCTTCTCATTGTTTTCTTGCGTAGGATCAGTTTTTATTTATCACCAGTCATCATAATCTAATTGTGATAGTTAAGTGAGGTTGTATGTGTTCCCGTTTTGTTATTGTGGCGATTTATAAATTGTTCTACTCCTACTAATAAACCATGGTCCAAATCAACTTTCATTATGATTGATTCTTATAGTTAATTACAGCTTTACTATTTGTGATAGTTACAGAAGACTTCATCACAAATTGATATCAATCAGATGTTGTATTCTCAAAATAAATAGCACTAACTTTCGATTATTCTATATTTTATTGGATTCGAAACATCTACAGTCTTTCGCCCTCATTTTATTTTTTGCACTGGTGTTTTTTCGCCCATTAATTTATGTTCGTTTATATATATACACATTAGTAATCAATACACAGTTATGATATATTAGTTTTAATTTAATTTTGTGTACTATTTTTTATTTATTGCTACCAAAATGTTAAAAAGAAAATAAAATTATGAGGAACACTTACATGTCTGTTATGATTATGACTGGAAAGTCTGTCTACATATATCTCATCAAAAGAAAACAATGTTATTTATAAAACTGCAGTAACCCAGGTATTATAAGTCTTTTAGTGATAAAATAAATGGAAGGAAGCATAACATTAAAAATTGTATCGTCTCCACGTGCTAACGATACGATAAGATAATCAGATATCTCATTGTCATCGATTTGTTTGAATGTATTTGCTATTCCGTTAATTGTTATCATTTAAGTATCAAACTCCCGCGTAGAAATCATTAAACTTTGACTTTTCTTTTGAATGGTAACTAATTAACTTCATTCATATCAATCATTATTTTAATTGTTAACTCTTCATTTTAAATTGCTGTACCTTAAACTCATTTACTCTGTATGTGCCGACTTCACATAATTTAGACGAACTTAACGACTATTATTTTATTAGAGTAAGAAATGACATTGAGTTATTCGATGTTTTAAGGTACACGTTTGAGTACTTATAAACGCGGAATATTAAGTTTATCATAAAACAACTTTTTCCAGTTTGTTTTTAATATCAGTTCTTCTTTATATACAATGGCTTGTTGTCCTTTTTGTGCGTGATCTTAGTGATAATCTGATTTCTTTTCAGTTCATTCAAACAATGAGGTTGATTTTATTTTCTATTTAGGTCAGTTTTGTGTTTATGTATTTGCACGTTTCTGATTTATATGGCTAGATGATAACTAGATTTAAAAAATTCTTACTTGACATTTTCCAGGGATAACGGATTTTTATTCCATGTGCAAATGTTTTCGTTTTATCAATGTCGGATTCTTAAGACATTAGTAATGTAGTTCAATACCTTTCCAGATTATATATTTGATTTCCTAATGAAAACAAATTTTTAATTCTATTCCAGAGTGGGTACGTCAACTAACCAGGCGGGTTGTAACGCTACCTCTGTTGCCGCACGTCGTGTAGTTACAAATACCAATAATAACACGTCTTCTGGATTTAACAATGGTATAGGAACTATCTTAGAGACTACACCTTTCCCTAGGCTTACACCAGAACGTAGAACTATTCATTCAACAAATTCACCAAACATAGACTTTGATTTCGATACAAATAATCAAAATTCTAACAACACAGTCGCTGCTCGTTGTATTAATGTTTCACTTGCTGGTGCTGGGGCTACAAATAGTAGTGGTATGACTCACTTAACTCCTTCTGGCACTGGTCTTACCTTCTTCAAGGCACTTACTTCCAAAATCGGTCGACGGTAAGGTGTTCTCCATTCATTTTATCCTGCTGAATCATGTCGTTTAAAATTACTAGCTGTTTTTCTGGGTATTTAGTACATAATAATCTTACAGTATGATATAAATTTTAATGTCTTGAAAACTTACATATTCCACCTGTAAACGATTGTAAGGATTAGACTTAATTTCGTATAAGTTTCTTCAGTCACTCCTAACTCTTGGTTACCTTCTAGTGACATTAAACAGTTTTCATCCTCAACTATACAATAATGAGTAGTAAACTGATGACTTATTGATCACCTCACCTAACTTTAATCCATTGCCTCAGTATGGCAGCGTCATAGTACCAATACCTCGTAAGTCTGTTACCTCAATTCTATAGCTGTTCAATCGACACTAGCACAGAGTAATTAGAATACTTTATTGTAAGTTTTTCACATTTCTTAGTGTCAAGATGTGAACATTTCTTACTTTCATCTAGATATGTGTATCTACTGATTACCTTCCACCTCGAAGTTGTAAATAAACTTGTACAACCTTGGTTGTACAAGTTTTCCATGGCTTCATTTTAGAATTTTGGAACTATATGATTACCGTACCGAAGAAATTATTTCATCTATCAGACATAGTAATTTGATTTAAGAAAAATTGACAATTACAACTCACTAAACATCCGAATCGAAAATCATCGTTTCTAAAATGAAATATCTTTCGACTGATGGATTGGTAGACACGGTCAAAGTCGGGCTAGAAACGTTGGATAATTCGGGTCATGTAGTCTCCTTCCTTAATAGAATAGCTAAATTTTACTAGCCTTAGAACTCGGCTCTTAATAATTTGATTTGTGTGCTTAAAACTATTAGATGACAGGTCTTTTTAAATTCTAAATCGGGTAAAACGTTACCTGAATTTTGTGCTTTCATTACTTTTCAGTGATGAAATAAATACTGTACTTGTCTTATTTTCATAATTTATGGTTTAATAAGTCTCATAATGCCGTTTTTACTTTTTAGTGGACCTAATAGTGGTGCAATGGGCAATATGTCTCAGGCACTTACTGGTGGCACTGATATTTCACATATTCCATTCTCAACGGCGGATTCTAATATTGGGGCTTCCACAACCAGCTCGGGATCAGGTTATCTACCTGGAGATTCAGTTTTTTCTGACTCCAGTGTACATGGCGCATACACCGAACCTGTTAGTCAGTTAACACCTGGAGGAAGCTCAGCTGGTTCTCCTGTTCCTCAAGGCGGGAATCAAACTGTTCCTCATACTGACGATAATGCTAATGATCAAACGAAACCACGAAGTTTACGTTTCACTTGGTCTATGAAAACAACCAGTAGCATGTGCCCGGATAACATGATTAAAGAAATCAAGAAGGTCCTTACGGCCAATAATTGCGAATATGATCAACGTGAAAGATACCTTCTCATATGTGAGCATGGAGATCCAAGCACAGATGCGAATGTTCAGTGGGAAATGGAAGTTTGTAAACTTCCTCGTTTGTCTCTAAATGGAGTTCGCTTTAAAAGAATTTCAGGAACTTCTATTGGATTTAAAAGCATCGCTTCCCAGATCGCTAATGACCTCAAACTTTAATCAATAACACTTTCGTTTGCATACTGATCTGTTTTATATCCCACTTCAAATGAAGTTATTTACTTTTCTGTATACTTGAAGTGCCAGATTACAACTATGACTGTGAAAGATCTTGGATAATATTAATACATGCTCAACGGTATAGTTTTTATGCAGTACCTCTCGTTTTTTTTCAAAATACTATGCTGGGTCATAATATCTTTGTTTCGATACAGCCCACAATGACATGTTTTTCGTGATTTCAATTGTGTTCTTTGTCTGTATGCGTTTCACATATACGCATTTGTACAGGCCTAATGATCACTTTACATGTGTGTAAATCTTTTCTGTCAGATCCTCTACATTGTCCAATTTGTATTGTAGTGGTTATTTCCGACCAAATCTTATTCAGACATGTTTGTACTTTCCAATTCTTTCTTTATTATTTCCTATATATTCACTCCACTCAACAGCATCATTCGTTCTTAGACTTCTGATAATGTCCTCAGGATTCCTTATCTGCACTTTTCTGTTAACATCCCTAATGAAATATCTAAGCACACTTGTTTATGTCATCTAAGTAGATTATGACCACCCCTGTTTCACTTATATGTATTTTTGTATTTCTAACTGTCCCGGGTATTTCATTTTTGTTCGTTAATTTTATGTCTACCAAATTGAGCTATGGAAATTTATGTAAGTTATTTCTTAGTCTTTAGTGTAGTACCTATGTATTCGTATAGTATTGTTTTTCATTCCTTCATAATGATCTCTTCTGTTAATCTCACTACATCTTTTCTTCTCATTTATCGTACAGTCGTGCCACCTTATTTGAACAGTAGCAATTTGTCGGTTTTATTTTTTCAGTCTGTTATCATCCTCATAACACTATTTTCTCCTGAGGGTCGTCTATCTCTACACTTTCAATACTTCACAATAAAATACAATATAAGCCTTTCCTATTGATGCTCTGTTCCTTTCTGCAAGTGGATCTAAGAATGCACAGTAACTAAAATTATTACTTTTTTGCCTTTTACAATGCATGCGCCATCGCCTGTGTACACCGTTGATAATTCCTAAGGAAGCCATATAAAACGATTGTGTAAGTCCCGTATCAAATGTTTCATTTTTGCCTTCGGGAATGATATCAGTGTAATTACTAGATATTTGCATTCTGTTCCAAATTGATTTTTCTTCTTGGTTCTTTCGTTTAGTTTACCATATTCCTCACCAATATTCAATGTCATATATATTCTGTGAATAGATTTATTGCGTTCAATTAGTAACATCCTTAATTATTGTTATTATTAATGATGGTCTGTTCTTATTGTTTCTGAATCTCGCTGTTAATAATAGTATTAATAATAATACACATGACTAAGTAACTAAACACATTTCAATCTATTTGAGCTCTAACATATACTCTTCCTTTCAAGTGCGTTTTCCCAAATGTACAAACCCTATACACACAAAAATTTGTTTCAATGTTTATATTTTGTTAACTTCCTTCTTTCATCTTTTGTTCGCCTCGTTTTTTCTTTATATTATTATGTATGTTTTCGATTTGTGATAGGGTGATTCCATTTAATTCTCTGAATACGTTCTGTCCTAGATGTTTATTCTAATGCAGGTTTCACCTTTATTTCGTTATCCAATGCAGTTTAAAAGATATTTTAATTTTCTGAAGTATTGACAATTATTTTAAATTCATGCGGAAGTTACTTTGTGATATTGTTGCTGTTCTCTTTTACAAAATTATGAGTTATCTTTTCTGCCATGAAACCTAGTTCCATAATGTGGTGTGATTTATTTCATACGTGGTTATACACTTTTCTCATCTGCACTGTTTGTTATCTCGTGTATCTGTGTATATTAGTAACTTACGGTAAAACTTATTGCGCTAACTGTTCTTGTGGCGGATGATACAAATAATAATGGGTTTTCGCCGGTGACTTTGCGAAAAGGATAAAAAGTAGCTTGCCTTCTTTAATCTTCGTACTGCTATGTTTCACCATTTCTATTTTGCTTTTCCTTAATTAAATGTACCCTCTACAAATTGTGTGCGAAATTCATTATACCTTGGTATGGAGAAAAATCGGTTTCATTTACTTATGATTAACATTATGAAAAACTTCTATACGTAGTAGATTATCTCTTCTATATCATGCATACATTTAAATTGTTACATCCAAATGTTCGCTTATTCACTATCTTTCGTCTCTCTTAAATCGTTTGTGTCCCTCATTTAGTTCAAAGGAGTTGTTTTTCCAACTTCATCTTGTATACCTTCTTTTAAAGGCTACATTGACTTTACACACATGCAAACGTACATATATGTGTATGAATCATCTGTCTAACCTTATATATATATATATATCCTAACGTATTTATTGAGATTCTACAGCCACGTGATCATTTCAATGCACTCGACTGTGTAGAATTCCCACTACAGACAAATGAAACTAGTGTTTAGCAAATTGACTTTTTTCATATTTTATTTTTTTTTGTTAGTAGTTCACTGAGTTGTACCTGCTCATTTTTATAGTCATGTTGATAATGTCGATATTGACTATCCCGTTTTTATTACGGTTCTGGACGCTACTAACTCAAAAGTACGCTTAATGTCCTATTAATAAGTGAATAAATTACTAGCATAATAGTGAAACTTTAGGTGGCGTCTCTACTTTTGACAACTTAAGCTATCTTTATGCGGTTTTTAAAAGGCGATCAATGATGGTGATCCAACTTGCACTGAAGTAACCATTGCACAACAAAGATTAGCTTATTATAACTTACAGGGCAATTTTAAAAGACAATTCTAAGCTTAGTCCATTTGACAGCTAAAAAGAAAATAGTTACTCAATAAGCTAACTATCAGAAGTATTTCTTGAAACCAGTAGTCCAAATATGTAAATCAAATTCTCGATGACATTGAGAATTACCGACATCATTTATGATGTCCCAGATATGACCTACCAATCCCTATATCCGTTATGATAGATCTTTCTAACTCAGAATTTATCATCACTTCAATCATAGAACAAATGCTTTGACGAAGAAAAATTTCGATCATACACTGCTTAAAACGACATTCTACACTCTAATGCAAAGTATAAATGAGTCATGTAGCTTCTGTTTATATAACATTTGTTTTTCGTATTAGGTATCATGAGGTATTCTTGATATTGAAGTCACCTATATTCTACTTACAGTGTATATTTTTTATCAGTTTTCAGTATAACGTAAGTCTACAAAATCTTGGGAGTTTTTGTGTGATAATTAGCAAGAAGAATTCACCATTCTAATCCTTCCAAACAAGTAAATTATGATTCGGAGGATCAAATAAAAACGGGTTATAAGCTATGGCTGCAAATTCAGTAGTCTAGGAAAATTTGTTTCCTGCAACTGTTTGACGTAATTCATCCAATTGCAAAGTTAATTCCATTCACGGAAAACTTTATGAAACTATTTCGATTGCTGTTATTTTAAAATCCAAATAACGTCTTTCTAATATAGGTTAATAACACTAGATGTTTATTGCAAGTTCAGCTCCTTTCTGACTTCATAATTCTACTTTTTTCCACCATAAAACTGTAAAGTAGGATCACATAAAACAACTTAAACTAAAGGAAATGAGGTATTGCTTTTTTGGATTTCTTTAAAAAAAGGTCGAATAGTGTCATTTTCCAATGGAATTTATGTTCGTTTTCTACATTTAACTTAGGAATAACAGTTCATCTACGTAAATAAAATAGCGCACTTTCCAAGACGTTTTTGCTTTGTCCAACTAATATTTCGCGTTTGATTTCAAACTACTGATTTGTTTGATTTTATTACCTAACCTTATGGACGACTGTAGCCTGTCAGTCAACTATCTCAGTGCAGTTAGTAGATACTGTCCATTGCCCAGGTACGACAGCTAACAGATGTTAATTTTTCGATCATTCTAACTTCAGGATCGTTTTTATATATACATAGTAATCCCAGTATAAAAAACATACTGCATATAAAATTCATATTTTTCTACTAACCTTACATTCCCAACGAAATATAGTTGAGAATAAAAGTTCCAATATGTAAACAATTTACAGAATTCAGTTATACGTATGTAAAAAGAAATGAAAGACTAGATTTATCACCGAAAATCCCCACGATATTATCAAAATGATGTAGGTAGGGGAATTTATTAATGGATATTTTCCCTCTGAGTAATAGAATGACTTCAGCACAACATTCGTCTATACAGTCACTCAGTTGATGTTATTTCGCGACGAAATATTTATTGAAAAACCAACCATCTTGTTCGTTAAACAATATCTATTCACAGAATACAAAAGAAAATCTGATAGAATAACAGCATTTATCTTCGCATACACTTTAAAATTCCTATCCAGACCCAGGTGACACTAATCGCTTAAGTCAAAAACCTATCCAAAGTGGAACTTGTGACGTCTAAGTTCTGTAGTAGCGGCACAAGTTTTCTTCGTGTCTTCTGGTCATTAGTCTTTTTTATTTATCCTATCGAGTAAGTTTAAACTAATCGGTCGTCTCTTGCTTATTGTATCCATCTAACGTTGATTTTAGATGAGTGGGAAAAAATACATGGTCAAGTTGCATGATGGCTAGAAATATATCTCTCATTCATATGGATGTCACAGTATACTTAAACGGATATACCTTATTAATGTATTACGAAAATGTATGTATTCCTCCTAATTAAATGCTGACAAGGTGATTACGCAAAATAATGTGTATCATTGTTGTATATTGTTCGATTGCCTTTATCCGTTACAGTGATCCTTCTGATCACAAAGAACAAATTTTTGTTACAGGAAGAGCATATTCCGTTGTTGGTAAAATCTTGTTGATATATACTATCTAAACAAAAACTGGATTTCTGCATCTTTATTGGAATTTCATAGTGATGACTTTAAACCGTTTGTATTTCATTTCAATAAGCTGACGTTAAATTACTAATTTTTGATGTTAAATCACCCGTTCGTAATTTGTACCTGATCAATCGCGTAATTAAGAATAGTATGTCAATAACACAGATAAGGTGACATACTGAAGTAGTATTCTTCGTATTTACTAAGTCAATCGTGTATATGCATGTGTTCATTCAATAGACTATTAGGTGATATAAATATTCCCAGACAGCATTAGTCAACTTGTTCCACTATTATAAACAACTTTAAGTTATTTAGCAGTTAATTCACCTAGAATCCATTCACATCTCCAAATGTACGGCTCGTAAATTACTGTGCGAATATTGTTAATACCTAGGTTGTCTGCTTCATTTAACATAAATTACTATAAAGCATGTGAGTAAAAGTAGTCACCGCTGATAAAAGTCTAGAAATTAGAAACTTAATTCAAACTTGGAAATCTTCATGTCTTTACTTGAATCTTTCAAAAACTCTATGTTATGTATCAGCAACGGAATAACGTACCAAATAAAAGTCAGTTTTCCATAGTTCTAAAGTATGTAACTATTCCTCCATTATCATATTTGTCACCGACTGAGCGTCTGAAAATTTCGCTCTACTCTCCGAATATGATCACGAATATCCAGGTATTTTACAGAGAAAATACTGGCATATATTTTAAGAATAGATTAAGTTAATTGGTTTACAGCCTTGTCGAAAAAATAAATTTCATGATGCTGAAAGTTGTACAGTAAATAGTTCAACCATCCACTTCAGAGTTCGAAACCAATTTCGCTGTGTTCATATTTTCCCAAACTAAATTTCGACATTTTTTACGAGATTGATAATCCCTAACTTTAATTTAAACTGCTCCCACTCCTTTTTAGTTGGATGATTATTTATGATTTGGCAATTGGCTTTCATTGCAAGACAAATAATTAGAATGAATGAAGTATTTGGTTTAGTCTACTATAGTTTCTACTAATAGTAGTTTTTGTAACTGAACCTCCAGTCCAATTAGATATGACCTTAATGTGTGATGCATTTGATTTAATAATTCATTGAATACTTTCCAACCATCTAGATTGTTTTCATCAAATAGTGATATCATTTGGAAAGCTTGTGAAAACCAGAGAGATTTGCTCATTTGTTATATTTTAGATTTTTATCTATGAAATTACTTTACCAAAACGTTATTAATCACAGAAAAACTACATCCATTTCATAGTTCAAGCCGTTCCATTTTGATTATGAAAATCTGTGTTTACGTTGATGAAGTTTACATCTTTATTTAACCTAAACAGAAGTACACATAAAGTACCACATAATTCAGAGTCTAATAACTAGTTCATTAAATAACATCACAAAATATTTTCTACACTGAAGAAAGCTTTAGAATTTTTAGTTGGAATCAAGGCAAATCAAAACTGACTAGATTTTTGTTGATCACTCAGTTGCAATTTTGAATTAATATTTACTTGTACTTTTACAGTACTTAAATGTCACATATGAATTCCATTTCAGTTAAGCTGTAGAAAATATCTCCACAATGTAGCTAGCAAGCAAAGTGATTCCATGTACTTTGATTTTAGACATATAAAGCCAGTCATTTGGAATCCCTGGACCTAGATTTTTCACCGTCCCAGATATTTAAAACCAGATCAACTAGTGAATTAATCATCGACATTCCCACTCAGTTATCTCAGGTATGAATGACCCGTAAGACTGGATTGACTGCACTAATCGGTCAATGAACGATAGTGACCAATGTTGTAAATTCAAATCCAAAGTCTTATATAACCCAAAACTTATATCTAATAATTCCTACCAGTTAACTCCAATCATGTTAATTCACTATTATCCACATGGTTAATTGTTCACAACAAAGCAGCTAGTTGTAGTGATTCATTCATACTAATTCATCTGGTGCCATTTAATAGTAATCAATAGCATCTACTTTCTTCTCTTTTTATTATCCAAAATAATCAATAAGACGTTTCAAATTCCTTCATTAATTATGATCAACTTTATTAATTATATTAATGTTATGTACACATTATTTCCAGTATGTTGGATTGATTCCAACATTGTTTCATTTTCATTCTACAATAGTAATACAATTTTGATAACGTGATCAAAGTATTTATTGTTGTCTCAGTTTTTTTTTTCCTTTTTCATTGAATACATGTAAACAAACGTTTTTAACTAAATAAACTTGAGTGACATTTTCTTTTCAGTTTTACAAATACATGACATATATGCACGTTACCTGTGGTTAATGAGCTAAAAATGATTCACAATAATGTGTTCAGTTCTTGAAATAGTTCCTCTCATTTTTTAAAATATTAAAGTAATTAAATGCATCATTTGATAAAACAGTCACAAACGTATTATAAATGGTGTTACTTATTCTGATTTTTATCGATTGATAATAAGAAACCAAATCGATTTTCTGATACACTAATAAATAAAATATTGAAAATCAATAAGTACCAGTGAGCAAATAGGGTTTGTCATTCAGCATTGTATTCAATGAATACCATACCTTTTTTCCCTATTTCTTTCAACTTTGATTATGATCAGACGGTAATTACTTTCCCTGTCCTATTTATTTACGAGAGTAAATCATATTTTTTAATGCATACATATACACACATTATACCTATATCTAGACTTTAAGTGACTAAAAATAGTCAGGAGCAAACTGTGATCAATAAATTCAATCAATACTAAG